TTCTGTCATAAGGAGCAGATAAAAAGCCTGCTGATTTGGACTGGGGATGTGGCTTAGTGGCAGAGCACCTACCTCATATGTACAAGGCCTTGGATTCAATTCCCAGTACTGGAAAAAAAGCCTGGTGATTTTTCTAACCCGCTCTGTTTGGGGGACCCGGTCTGCAGTGACAGCACCCTAATCCACAGCCAATTTTTACAGAGCCCTTGGCATGTACCAGGTCCTGTACTGTGTCTTGCGTACATTTTTTTTTTTTTTTTGACTTTTTGAAACAGGGTCTCACTCTGTAGTTTAGGCTAGCCTTGAATTATGTAGTTCAGGCTGGTCTCCAACTCACAGCCATCCTCCTGCCTCAGCCTCCCGCGTGCTGCATTACAAGCAAGTGCTTGTATTACAAGCGTGCACCACCATGCCTGGCGTATACACCATTTTACTACATCATCTCCACCACCACAAGAGAAAGGAGCTGGGGATTTAGCTCAGTGGCACAGCGCCTGCCTGGCAAGCGCAAGGTCATGAGTTCAATTCCCAGTACTGGAAACCACCACCCCCCCGCAAAAAAAAAACAACCACAAGAGAAAGCTAATAATACATAATTCCCATTTCACAGCCAAGGAAACTGAGGTCAGAGATTACATTTCTGGCCCACAGTCGCTGAATATGATCCGCAATTTGGACTCTGGCAGTCTGGCTCTAGAGCTGAGCCCAGCACCACAAAGGGAGTATTTACAGTATTTCCAAAACACACCAGTGATTTATCAGTGGAAAGAAGCAAGCACAGACTAAAGGCGGGCTAGGGGGGCATCCCAGCACCGGCCGATCCCCTCGCCAAAAAGCAGCCTCCCCTGCTCCCCTGCCCTGACAGCCGGCCAGCGGCCCCTGGCTCACCTCACCACGGGCTCTGGGATGGCCTCCGCGCCGGCGGGTACCTGCACGCCTTTCTCCCACTCCTGTCGCCACGGATCTGCCAGGATGTAATAGTCATCCGGGCTGAGCTGGTAGGAATCTGGAATCTTCATGGCTGTGATCAAGTCCGTCCGGAAAACCTGGCGGGCGAGAGGGGAAGGGCCCGCTTTACACAGCCTCGGGGCGGCCCGCTCCTCCGCCAGAGGAAGGGGTGAATGCCCTCAGCTGAAGTGGGCTTCCTGCCTGCTCGCTTCCACACGCGACAGGACACGGGCAGGGAGAACTGTAAGTAACGCATCTCTGAACCCGCAGACGCCTCGCACGCCGTAAACCTTCCAGCAGAGCTCGTATTCTTCTGACCTACGCAAGCACGGGGTTTGAGTGACAGACGGGAGTACACCTAATAGAGAAAGGCGAAAGAATAAAACAAGCAAAAAACAAGCCCAAAAATAAAAAAGGAAGAAAAATAATCAGAGGGTAGAAAGGCACCTGCGAATGCAACGCTGCCGTTCTGTGACTGCTCGAGGGAATCAGTACTGGATGTTTAACACCGTGACAGGTTTGTATCCACAGGCGCAGGTAGCAGTATAGAGCAGCAGCAGGCGCGCACTCCCCACAAATAGCAAAGGAAAAGGGCGGGTCTTAGGGAAGCTTGGAGAGTGACTGCACATAAGCAGGGACCTCCAAGGTCCTGCACAGGCAAGGACACCAGGTTCCCCACCTCAGCAGGGCGGGACATGGCACCACCCAGAGCTGTGATGGGAAGGAGGAAGCAAGCTGTCCTCCTGCTTCAGCAAACCTGTCCGAACACCCTCGGGCCGGGGGCTACGGAGGCTTCCAGGCTTTCCACGAACCTACGTCCACAACCGCTCTTCCTGGAGTTCTGCCACCCCCGACTTCACCCTGAATGAGCTCCAAATGCACAGCCAGCTGGCCCTGGGCAACGCCTCCTGCCCCTATGGTTGAACTGTGGCCCCCAACAGAATGCTGACATGAAATATGGCAGCACCGCTACATACTGTGTGACCTGCTCAGGTACCAACCTTTGGGGTGATCGCCGCTTGAGAATGACAAGTTAAAGGACTCACATCAATGAGACAAGAGACATCACTTTAAGAAACACACCAGGCCTGCGCCTCCCAGGAAAGGGGATGCCCGCTGTTCAGTTCAGGGTAGGTCAGCTCTCACCCTTCGCAAGGCTCTCTGGCGAAGTGAGTCAGTGCTAACCTCTGCGGGCCAGGGCCCACGCTCCAGGTGCGGGTATCCTACTGCAGTCCAGAGCCAGCACCTCTGGGAGAAAGACTGAATGGTGCACCAGTGTGCCCGGCAAGTGCATCCTGCAGAATTTAATTAGTATCTGCATCCAGCTAGAAAAAGCCCTGACCTGGAAAGGGTCAAGTTTCTTTCTTTTCCTTTTTTTTTTTGCACTGCTAGGGAGCTGATCCCAGGACCTTGTATGTGCGAGCGCTCTGCTACAGAGCTACACCCCAGCAGGTCAAGTTTCTTTAAGACTCTATTTGCCAATATAATTTAATTGTTAAGACTAACACTCTAACGTTTAATTAGGGTGCCAGTGTGAAAAAATTAAAATCAGATTATGATTAAATGCTAATTAAACAGAAGATGGAATGTGGCTAAGATTTCACAGCCCCGATAATTTGCATATCTTATTAGCAAGCAGTAAGATAGCTAATACAAGAGTGCAAACTAGATACTTTTGAGGTGCCCTGCAGCAGCCCACTTTGCTGGAGGAAGACTTTCCCCACTGAGGCCTCTGGTACTCTGTCAAGTCCAAGAGGTCCGGACCTGTGCTACCTCCCTGAGTCCCAAGGACAGGATGTGCCAAGGCTGGGCAGAGCCCAAAGTGACTCGGGACAGCTTCACATTCCTCAGGGGTGTGGCATGGGCCCTACCGCTCATGCCACGGGGACCGGCTCAGCCAGGACCCTGCTCGGCCACCATCTTGCTCCCGAGATCAGCCCTACAAGAAGCCTGGAGCCATCCAGCGCCCCCTCAGCCCCGCTGCCCCCCGGGCTCTGGCTACCGCCCTTGAGTTACCCTGAAGCCAAACCAGGCAGGGAGAACCGCAGGGCACACCTGCTCCTGGGCCCCGAGGACGCCCTTGCAATCCATCTCCCAAGCACTTTTTACCCTTTTTCAGGTGGGAGATGCTGTCTGAGACCCTCTTTTTGTTTGCCAAAGGGGGCCTGGTTTTCGGCGCTCCATTTATGGGTGCCCGGCTTCCCCCTTAGAAGTGTTGGTCCAGCTCCTATCTGCCTGGGAAGCCTTCCTCATTACCAGGCTGGGCTCTGCTTTGTCTGAACTCTCACAGTGCCTGTCTGGAGTCTCCCAGTTTATTGTCTTGCCTTTCCCACCAGAAGGGAAGCTGCTGAGGTCTGGCAGGGCCACCGCGGTGGAGCCTAGCAGTGGGGCAGGGCCTGGAACTCACCGGGAACTGGCCCCCGGTGGATCAGCCTCCTTCTCCTTGGTTGCCATCCAAGGCCACAGCTGGGCAGCTGGCTACGCGGTGCCCTCCCAAAGTAGCCTCTGTACACTGGTACTACCATACATACAGCAGCCCATTTCTAACCTGAACACTTTTTGTTTTGAATTGCCAGGGGTTAGCTTGGGTTCGTTTCATTATTCTAAAACTCGTTTGAATGATTTATGGAAAACTAAATAATCAAACGGACACTGGTGAGCAGAATTCTCACCATGGCAGGAAAGTTGCAAGGTGGAAAACAAGCTATTTGTTTAAGCATGTAAATGTTTACTACTTTTCTCTCTTCGAAGAGATTGACAAATTGTCCTGGAAGGTCGGCTGCCTAGCAACCAAGTTCTGCCCAGCTGCTTGGGAGACAGTCATTGTAGCTTCTCAAACAGTATGAAGGAGGTTTAAAGACCTCAAATTCCAATTTAATAACCAACCTGAGTGCCAACGGGGCCACTGCAGCCCTGGAGGGAGCTAAAGACCCTGCTGTGTCCAAGTGTAGGGCTGTCACCTCAGAACACAGCCTCCGGCCCTGCCCTAGGGTTCCTTTACCTAAAACCTAAGCCTACACCACCCGCACAAGTCTACCTGTCTCCCCAGAACTGAGCACAGGCTCTGGAAGAAAGTGTCACCGGCACCCGTGAGCTCCAAAAACAAACAATGACAACAGGGAGCCCCCAAAGTGTGCTCAAACACAGCTGGCAGGCACCCCGCGAAGAGTTTTAATACAGGATGGTGTGATTTGTGAGTGCTGTTTGAGCATTTCATCCTGAAGTCTTGGTTCTTCCTTTTCTCCAGGGCTCAATTACTATGTCAGAGTCCTTCAGACCGAGAGGCACCAAGAGGAAGTTGGTTATTTAAGGCTCCAGCACTTAGCACAATTACAAAATGTAATTATTTGTGTCATTTTTTGTTTAATGTCCATCTCCTCTAATAATCAACTGCAGAGAGACAGACACTGCACCCATCCTGTTTCCTGTCTTTACTGTGCCCCCGTGCAACACTGCACTTGGTGCCGGGTGTGGTGGCGTGTGCCTGTAATCCCAGCTCTCAGGAGGCTGAGGCAGGAGGAACGCCTTGGGTTTGAGGCCAGCCTGGGTTGCAAGAGTAAGATGAAGATCAGCCTGCATTATATAGTAAAACCCTGCCTCAAACAAAAAACAACACTGCACTTGCTATACAGGAGGTGTTTAAGAAATGTTTATGGAGGGGCTGGGGATTTAGCTCAGCGGCAAAAGCGCCTGCCTGGCAAGCGCAAGGTCGTGAGTTCAGTTCCCGGTACCGGAGAAAAACAAAAACAAAAACAAAAACAAAAAAACCAGAAGAAATGCTTATGGAATAAATGAATGAAAATGAATGAATGAATGAGGCCCAGGACCTGCCTGAAGTATCGCCACATCCTGAAACTTCCTGTCAGGCTGAGACAGAAAGGGAGCAGGTAGCCAGCATGGAGGCAGGAGACTGACCCAAAGGAGGAACTAGAAACTGGCCCTGGTCAGTTGAGACAAATGGCTTTGGTTGCGCCTTTCCTTGACCTCTGTCCATCCCAGGAGGGGGCAGACTCGCAACTCCAAGGGAAGGCTGAGGGTCTGTCGCAGTGTTCCCTGGGTACTCTCATCATCAGAAATACCCGCTAACAGTGGAGCTGAGTCATGTGCGGTACTGTGCTAAAAGATTTACCTCTGTGGTTCAACCAAACTCATACTGCCCTCACGTTACAGAGGTGGAGACAAAGACGCAGAAAGGTCGAATCCCTTGTCTCAGGTCCACAGTGCTCTTTAACAAGGACAGCGAGCCCGCACATATTTCATTTTTTAAATAATCTTTACGGCCTGGATCCTGATAAAGAGTATCCTCAGCTAAGAGCAAACTTCACAGTTAAAATTAGGTATAAAACACCAGAAAAGGGCTCTGGGAATAGCGCCCCTCTCCCAGGCATGCTTCAGACTACCGCCAGGCTGAGTTAATCAAATGCTTTAAGAACAAAAATACTCAACCTCACTTTTTCTTATTTTCATGAGGATAATAGCACTTCCTGCTCTTAAAGAGAATTTATTGCACGCATTTCTTTTGCAAGACAAGTCCCAGAGGCCAGAAGGCCTTTCCAGCTGGCGGCAGCAGGAATGTTTCTGACTAATTGACAAAAAAAGTAGATCCTGCTCCCCTACCCAGAGTTGCGTCTCAGAGACCAGGCACTTGGCCCACAGGAAAGGTCCCTCACCCGCTATGCAGCCCGCCTCTGGACATGGCGAGGACCTGCTGTGGGCTACAAGCGTGGCTCAAAACCATAGGGGCAAGCACAAAGGCTGCCTGGGGATTCTCCCGCTTTTTATCAGGTTTGTGGGCGTTTTACATGTTACCACAACACACGCCATTGAACAGATGTTATCTTAAACATCTGGGCAATACCTCTGCTCCTCCAGGAATGCTTTTTATGTAGCCCACGTTTCAGCCCCAACATAACCTGGCTGCACCCCACTTCACCCTTCTCCCAGGGGAGAAGGATGCCACTTGTAACAGCAAGGGTAGAGCTTTGAAGCTTCATCCTCTCACACTACCATTTGCTGGGCGAGCAGAAGGGGGTTTTACTGGACACTGCTTCTGGGGGACACCCCCTTGTTGGCAGCGGAAGTTATTTCACTCCTCTCCCCTAGTTCCCTGTCCCCGAAAACAGGCTGAGGCGTCAGTGAAGGGTCCTCGTGGAACTTGCAAAGGCCTCATTCTGCCCTCTAGGGCCCCACTACTTGGTCACCAGGGCCTACAAAGAAGCTGACAGCTGGATCTCAACTCCCACCCTAGCTTCCATTTCAGGGTGTTAATTTCACCTGACACCCTCAGTGCCTACCCCACTCATCTCTACCCCACTCATCTCCGGGACCTCCCGCCCGCTTGGCCCATGGGTCTCAAGAAAGGTCATTCACATCGACAGAACATAAACTCCAAGGTGTGAACAGATGACAATCTCAAGGCTAGGAAAGAAACAAATCACTTGCCGAGAGGCACAGCGGCAAAGCCTCGGCCTCCTGGAAAAACTGGCTGCGCCGCCAGTAACAGCCACTTTCCTGTGTAGCTGCACCTGCATCCTGCCGACACAAGCTCCCTGGGGACGCACTGGCCCCTGGCACTGCTCCGAGCACCCAGCCAGGCCTCCTAGGTGCTCCTGAGTGCTTGCTGATCTTACTCAGCATCAGCAGTCCAGGGTCCCAGTCTGTGCCTACTGGCTGACTTCTGGGGACAAGGACTTCCTGAAAACACGTGTCTGTCCTTGCTATGGCCTGTCTGGGGAAACCCCCACAGCCTGGCTTGCTCTTCCTCTTTCTTCGCCAGCCCAGGCTGGAGGAAGACGTAGCCTCCAACACAAACCACAGGGGTGGCCCCTAGTTCTCTTGTAGATGTGTTCCTCAGGCCCCTGGTAGGCTGTGTAAGCACCTATGGGAGAAGGGGGGGTGCCCGGCCCACTCCTGCCTTTGCCGGGGTCCCTGAGCCCAGCTGGAGATCCCTCCTCCTCAAGCCCACCACAGCTTCTGATAACAACACACCAGGAACCCCTCTTTTTGGTGAATGGGAAGGGAAGTCTAAGATCTGAGCTCTCCGCCCCGCCCCAGTAGGAGGGATTTAACAACAGTACAGTATGGGCCCTCTTCCAGACCACTTAAGTCAGAATACCCAGGGGTGGGGTTAGGTGGAGGTCTGCTATGACTCTGTAAAAGAATCCTCTCCAACTGAGTTCTCAGAGGTGTGTCCCACCAGGGGTTAGGAACTACAAAAGGCTGCCTTATTTGGTGAGACAGGCCTGGCCAGAAACCCCAGGCTGTGGAAGAATTTACACAATAAAAGCAGCTCCCCAGGCAGGGACAATCTTTTCCCCTTCGTCAGGATTTAAGGGCCAAGGGATGGAGTTCAGCAAGAGCAGGCAAAACTGGACGGCTTCAGGCTGAGACCTGGGCTCAATGCCCCTTTTCCTTTCACTGCCTAACGGGACTCTGGGGCAAACTTCAGACTGTGTGCTTCCACCAAAAATCCTGACACAGCCACCAAGGTTCCTGGGTCCGTCTCCCCAGCGCTCAGCGCTAAGGCCTGCGCGGCCCTCTCCCCGGTGAGGGAAGGGGCTGTCCACTGGGTAAGGAAGTGGGCCTCAAGGCCACAGCCCTGTCCAGGGTCCTGACTTCTGGTCAGCGCTTTCATCAGTCCTGGGCATCTCCTTCGGTGTTAAGGGCACCCCTTGATTTGCACCCTTGCAGAATACCGAGAAGGGTGTCAGGACATGGCATCAAAGGACAGCCCTATCTGTCTCACTTAAACCCAATCCCAGCCATCGTAGGTCAGCTGGGTTCACGAGACACCCACCGCCGCTTCGATGCAAAGCCCCTCGGGGCCTCAGATCTGCCCCATACCTGTCCCCATTCAGAGAGGAAGAGGCCAAGGCAACGCTGTGTTCCATGGTGCTACAGGCACCGGAGGGGTTTTCTGCACCACGTGAATGCTCCGCAAGTGTGCCCGACAGAGAACACAATGTGAGACCCGCCCAGCAGCTGCCCCGTAAGGCACTGGACACATGGGGCTCCCAGAACCCCTTTCGCCAGGTGTCCAGAGCCCTTGGGCCCCAGGCCCGGCAGACCTGGCCCTCCCCTTCCAGCTCATTCACAGAAAGAGAAGGGAGTAGCCCGGCGAGCAGATTTAGTGCAAACATTGTCTGCAGCCAAGTCCTTGCTTTCCTCTCCGCCCTCTCATGAGCCAAATAATTTGGAAGCTTTCATTGACGGCGTCGTCTCTGTCCCACGATAACTCAGGATTTATGGCAGCCACAGCTCAACCTTCTCACTTAGGGGATGAGGGAAACCTCGCAGGCTGCTCTCCAGCCTGCTGTGGGAGGCAAATCTTGTCCTTGGCCAACATTCAAGGCTGGGAGGAGGCCTCAGCCCTCCCGGAGCTCAGAGGGGGAGGTGCCTCCTACTCAGACCCCACAGCCACCTGCAAGAAGCTCCTGGCCTGGGTCCTGGGACCTGGGGCCATGCCTAGCTGGTCCCCAGTGGGCCTCTTACCAGGGTTTGACTCTATTTTTAGGTACAAGGGCTCTGGGCTGGAAAACCCAAGAGGCAGGGGAATTTTCTCCCCCATGCAAATCGCTCTTGCTTCTCAGCCTTTGCTGACACCTGTTTCCTCCCAGCCAAGCCAGATCCCGGTTTAGATGGCAGCTGGGTCCCCCGAGGCAGCCCCTCCTCTCACCTGAGCTTGGAGAAGGCAAGGCGGGCGGGGAGGAGCCGGGCTTGGGATCAGCCTGCAGTGCGGGAAATGTGGGCCAACCCAGGAGTTTCCACCCCACTCCAACCCGACCAGCCAGAGACGAGGAGTCTAAAGGGCAGGTGCCTCATGTCCCAAAGGGGTGCGACACTTCCGGCCTGGGGGGCGCGAGGAAGGTACAGATAGGTGGCCACTCTCTGACTGCAGAAACCATGGGAAAAATAAAGCTAGTGGGTCTCAAGGCTGGGAGGTCACCTCACCTGCCTTGAGCTCCCCAGGCTGCCCGTAGCTCTTCCATCCCCCTCTCCCACAGGGGTGCGGTGGGCAGAAGCAATAAGAGCCTCGGCCCAGCATGGGCTTCCCCTCCCTAACAGCATCCCCAGAGATCTCGCCATTCATCTCCACCCCTCCCCTAAGGGGCCACGGTAGGGTACCAGGTGGGGGATGGGGCATGGGGTCTCAAAGGACTGGTGGAGGCCTCCACCTCCCCGGAGGAAAGTCCTAGGGATGGGCCGCTCCTGGAGGTGGAGGCTTTTTTCAAATGCAAAGTCTCCGGAAGCCCCCCAGGGGCTAGCTAAATACTAGTACCAGGATTGCTTCCGTGGTGAGGGACCAGAAAGGGCAGGGAGTGCCTGGAAAGAAACACCTTCCCCCAACCTAAACCAAGAGCCCTGCAGCTGAACTCCAGCCTTCCCCACCCCAAGGTTTGCAAGGTCTTACAGACATGACCTTGAGACCCTAAGTTTCCTTTTCTACAAGAGATCTCAGGGGTCCTGAGAATTCAGGGATAGTTTTAACGATAAAAAGTGCTTTCTAATGATTAAAAAGCCATGAAAAAGGCCGGGCATGCTGGACAGGGTTGTGATCCCAACACTTGGAAGGCTGAAGCAGGAGGGCTGCTGTGAGTTCAAGGCCAACCTGGGATACATGAGTTCAGGTCAGCTTGCATTACACAGTGACACCTTGTCTCAAAAAAAAAAAAAAAAAGAAAAAGAAAAAAGAAAAAAAAAAGCCATACGGAGCTCAATACCATAACTTTCCACAATAGCCCGTGCCATACTGCCTGATGCAGCGGGTACATTTACTTTTGCTTACCCTCCTTTTCTCCTTACTTGGCCCAAGCTCACTCTGCAGAGCCAGTTTCTCCTTCGCTCTTTATTTTACTTTGTGGAATAAACTTTGCCACTGCTTTAAAAAAGTTTAAAGTAATACAAAGCTGGGTCCAGCCCAACGCCTGCATTCTCATAGGTCGCAGAGCAGTGCTAAAATTCCACACCTCCACGCCCCTGCAGCCCAACCTGTGCCGATGGCCTCCTCCAGACCAGGGGCACTGGCAGCAAGGGCCTAAGGCGGAGCAAGAAGGCGCCAGGATGTGACTTTTTAGGGGCTGCAGGAAGCAGGGTCCTGATGTGAATCTGTCTACCCTAATACTCTCCTCCACAGCTCCGGACGCCCATCCACACCTGACACTCCGTGTGGGAAACATCTCAAGACCACAGGAAGGCTTACAATGCACCTGTATGTGAAACAGTTGTAAGTAGCATATGACTAATGCGACGGCTCTGAAGATCCCACCCTTCAGCCTGACACCAGCTCCAAAGCAGTATTTCTCCCCCTCAGAGGGGCAGAACAGCTTGAGGACGACCTAGGAGGTAGTTAGGTGAACCCGACCCATTCATTCCACAGAGCCATCCTGGCCTCCCTGTTCACCGCGATCCGTGCACCTGTGCCAGGAACTCGCCGCCCCACGCTCCTGGCCCCAGGAACCCCCACCCAGGCTTCTAAGATGCATGTCGCTTGTCATTACCCACCTCTGAGGGCTTCTTTTCTTTCTGCCGGGGCCAGCCCGCCTTGGTGCTGCTGGGCAGTTTGGAACATCTTGACGCTGGCGTAGAAGTGGCGTGACCTGCAGAGAGAGAAGGGCCGTGAGGGGTCCTGGAGGACCAGCCATGCCACCTACCCACATCAGGGTAGGGGACTATAAGCAAAGCTCGGGCCTGAATGTTCAGGAGAGGCCTCTGTCCCTGCTCTGGGCCTCAGCCTCTCTGCTCACCCACCAGAAAGGGCCCAGGAAATTGAAGGCAGGTGCCTTACTGTGTGACCTCCGGACAAGTCAGTCCCCGGTCCTCTCTGGGACTCTGCCTCCTCCTTCAGTCAAGGGGTGCTGAGTAAACGTTGTGTGCCCTCTCGCCAGCCCCAAGTTAGGTATAACACAATCCTCAGGGCAAAGCAGGACAGCGGGAAGCTGCGTGAAGCAGACGAGGAGACCGCCAGGCATGAGAGCTGAGTCCGTCCCTTACTAGCTGGCCACTGCCGTAGGCACATGACCTCAACTCTGAGCCGCAGGTTGCTCTTCTATAAAACAGGGCTGAGACGCTTTGTCCTCCAAAGGCTCATACGCTGGAGACGTGGTCCCCAGGGCAGCATTACGGGGAGGCCCTGTAAACCTTTAAGAGGTTGGGTCTCAGGAGAAGGACGTACGTTACTGGGGCCAATCGACCATGGACTGAAATCTCCCGAACTGGGAGCTAAGCAGTCTCCCTTTGATAAGTTAGTCACCGCATGCGCTTGGTCACAGGGCTGTGAAGCTAACACAGAGGCCCAGAGATGAACGGTCTTCCACAGGATGACTGAATGGCATCATGCCCCCGAGGTCTTAGAGCGGCCCCTGGCACAGAAGGATTCCTCAGTAAGCATCAGCTGTCACTACTGGGTCCTAAGGCCCTCGCTAGACTACAGGCCCTCTGGTCCCATGAATCAACGGAACAGCAAGAAGGGTCACAGGCAGACCCAACGCTGTGGGCGAACGGGAGCAGCAGTCACAGAAGGCACAGTGGGGGGCGCTTGTTGGGAGGGAGCCAGCCACTGCCTGGCCCAGGCCCGATGAAGCTCCAGGGCTCAGCTGCCCAGATGCCCGTTCGTGCATGCATTGGGCCCTCTCGAAGGGCTCCTTCTCGGGCACTGAAGTCAGAAACGAGGCTGTGGTTCTTGGTTCTACTGGACCGGGCCGCAAGCAGCTGTTGTAGCCACAGAAGGTAGATGCTGTGATCTCCGGCTACAGGCTGGCCAGGCCGGACGCCACAGGCAGACCCGAAGGACAGTGAATGAAACCCACATGAAGGGAAGGGGCTGGAACCTCCCGGCCATCCTAGCGCAGCTAGGCTTTTGTGGGCTGGGCAGCTCTGCAAACCAGGAGGGGATTCACAGATCCCACTAATCCCCCACTGGCTTACCGTGTGTGAACTAAGTACAGGGCTCCAGGCCCGGCCCCCCTGGCAGCAAAGCTGCTTCCTTAGGTGGCGGCCTCCTGGCAGTGTATCTGCTACCCACAGTGGATGGAACCACGCACTCCAACGGGCACCCGCAGGCCTCGCTTCTTGGGCCGCCTTCTCTGAGGTGGGCCTTATGCTGGAGGGCAGCTCTCACCTTGCACCCACCTCCCAACCTGCTCTGCTCCCAACTTCCAGAGGGTCCTCTCGAAGCCTCATTTCCTCCTTGACAACACACCTCGGTTCCTCCCACCCAGGCAGCCACCTGCCATATCCACTCCACACACAGGTCTACTTCTGCGAGTCTGCTGTCAAGAGCTCACGAAATGTGGGCTTCCTCATTAATTTCTCCAGGCAACATTCACCCAGCACCTACTCTATGCCAGACTGCAGCTGGAAATACAGCAAAATACAGCAGCGAGAAGACTTGAACTCTCTTATCAAGCTGTTTCCCATTGGCTAGAGAAATATATTTATCAGGTAACTACCATCAAGAGCCGACAGGCTTTAGATGTTATATAGCAACTTCCTAAAAGGGCCCTGGCTCAGCAGGAAGGCCAGAAAGGGACCTTTTTCTTCTGCCAGCCAAAAGTGCTACATGCAAAGGCCCTGGGGGCAGCTGGGCTATTCTAACCACAGTAAAATGAGTGAGGCAAGACCTAGAGGGTGCCGGGTGTGGTGGCGCATGCCTGTAATCTCAGCACTCGGGAGGCTGAGACAGAAGGATCGTTGCAAGTTTGGAAGCAGCCTGGGCTACAAAGGGAGCTCAAGGCCAACCTGAACTGTATAGTGAGACCCTGTCTCAAAAAGACAAAAAAGCAAAAACAAACAAATAAACAAAAGACCTACAGGGTAAAGAGAAGTAAAGTGAAAGGGGCAGAAAGGCCCTGCAGGCCACGGGCAGGGTGCAGGGACTAGCTGAGGAGCAGAGGGCCTGATTTAATTTACGTTTTTATCACCATACCCCTCAGCTGAGCTGAGACCATAGGGTAGCCTCTTCCTACCCAGGCCTCAAACGCTTCCCCTATAGGAGCCCCAGATGGGAAGGCCTTACTGTCACTGGTGTCGGAGTTGTCGCTGCTGATGGAGTATTTTCGCCTCTTCTCTTCCATCTACAACAAAAGGCAGACAGGTCTGTTATACTCGTGGACAGCTTGGGAAATCCTCAATCTCTCAGTAAACTACGCCATCATCTACCGGCGCACACCCATGCCCCTGCAGAGGAAGGAGAATAAAAGAAAGGCCATCCTGAACTCGCCTTGTCCTCTGCTGGCCCTGCACTCTCCCCACCCACCCACATGGCCTTGTGCTTTGCAGTAGAGGCCACGTCTCCATCTCCAGAGCCCAGAGCCCTCAGATGAGAAGTATGGCCAAAGAGGACACTCACGGAAACCTGGTTCCAACAGAAAACCCATTCCCACGTCAGGCACCTCCTGTGTGTCCCCCACACACAGCAGGGGAGGAGGGCAGAGGAGGAACAAGACTGCTTCTTCCAGTACTGTCCCTGACATAAGGGAGAAGCCAGCGGACACAGTGGAGGACACAGTGCAAAGTGGTGGCCAGCAGGGGTGGGGGTGGGTACCTGAGACATACTAGACACAGGGAGACTGGCCCCAGGCTGGGGCACCAGTGTCTTCCCCTCATTGTCTTTCCCCAGATGAAAGCAAAAAGTAACTTTATCAACTGAAAAATCTCTCTCTCTCTCTCTCACACACACACACACACACACACACACACACACACGGGACCTCACACAGAATCCACCCTTTACCCGCACTCTCGTGTCCTAAATAACCCAGTGAATTGTGAGCTACTAGCTCTATTCAGAGGAGGCTTGGTGCCTTGTCTTGCTTGTAACTGAAATGAGGTGTGAACTTTGAGGCTGAAGTCTAATCCCCGAGCCCAAGCTGAGCTGTCTTTGAACAAACCATTAGCTCCAGCCTATCGGAAACCTTTTTGTATGTGTACAGCACTAGGGAAGGAACCCAGAGGCTTACACAAGCTCGGCGAGCGCTCTACCACTGAGCCGAGCTATCTATACTCCAGCCTTCTTTGCTTTTCATTTTGAGACAGGATCTCCTGAAATCACTGAGTTGCCCAGGCTAGCATTGAACTTGTGATCCTCTTGGCCTCAGGCTTCCGAGGAGCTGCGGTTACACGTGTGCACCTCTGCACCCTGCTCTGCTGGAAATCTTCCCCATCCACTGCTTCTTCTAGTCCTGCAGAGTCCCACGTGGCAGAGCCCGTTCTCATCCCCTGGGAGGGCAGCTTGATAAGCTGTGCAGTCTCACCAGTGCTCTGTGGCCAAGTTCTAATGTGAGGATGGAGCTGGAGCTCAGAGTCTAGAACATTCCCTAACGTGCTCTTAGGAGTTATGGAATGGCCTCACTGCCTACAGCCAAGTTCAGCGAGGAGTCTTTACGTCCAGGAAGAAAACCTTGAAGCCCAGCCATCTGCCGGCCACCCAGGCTCCTCACCCTTGCTGAGGTCCCACCTGCCACATAATACCCACTGCCGCCTGCCGCCCTTACCCTTTGTCAGTTCCTGCTGAGCCCTGGGTGTCCCTATCTTACTGCAGCCCTGCAGAGACCAGGGGGCATCTGCTCAGTAAGGCAGGGACCAGGAGGACCCTCATGCCTTGCACCTGACCTCAGCTACGAGCACCTCTCCATTCCAGTGGGCCAACAGAATGGCAGGAGGTTCACTGGAATTACTTGCTGCTGAGACCCAAAGGTCAGACAGTGTCCCCAGAAGGGGGAGGGGCTGAGGGACACCTGGTGATGCTGGCAGCACAGATGCCCAAGAGAAGGAGCAACAGCAGCTTCGACTGCTAAGCACTCTTGCCGCAGAAGTGGGGGTGCTCTGCCACACTGGGACCTTGCGGAAGCCACAGAACATCTCTTGGTGGCAGGTGGATGTGAAGGCTGCTTCCCCTTTACAGATGAGGAAACTGGAGCTCGGAGGTTAAGTAACTTGCTTGCATGTAGCTCAGGAGAGAGACCTCACTCTTCACCTCTTGTGCAGCACACAGCAAGCAGCCCAGCGACCACAGCTGTGCTCCTTGGCCTCCCAGGTCTCCGCATCAAGTGTAAGAAAGGCTGACTCTGACCGAGCCCTGCCCAGCCCCGTCACTGGTGGAGCAGCAGGCAGGGAAGGGTACTATCCATGCACCCAGCCTTCCTCGTCTGCAATCCTGAATGGGAATTACGTTTCTCTTTCCAAAAAGATTGCACATCCAAGCTAGGGTCCCCACAGAATGAAATGCAGAATCTATGGGGGGGGATGTAGCTCGGTGGAAAGGGACACGCTCAGCATGCACAAGGCCCTGGCTTCAGGGGAGTGCCGCAGGAGCTGAGCCACCAGGGGGGCTGGGTTCAAATCCTAGCCTTATTACTCACCAGGCCAAGGTCTTTGGCAAAGACCTACCTCCCAGGAGGTAAGCTGGATGTGGATTTTTGTATCAACCTCCTGAATTTAAAAATACTGGCAACTGAGTCAGAGTTTTTCAAACACTTTGAGAGGGCCAAACTAAACACATTCACGGGCCAGAATCAGCTAGTGAGTCTGAACGCGAGCAGCACACGGCCCTGAGCACAGGGGCTGGCGCTCCACACAGGTGCTAGCTATGAACACCACGGCAGCCTCAGGCCTCAGGGGACAGCCACTGGGCACGGGGGAGCGCCGGGGCGGAAAGGGCAGTGACACTGTACAGTAAGGGAGAGCCCTGGAATGGACCCGTTCACTACACACGCCCTTCTCACAGTGCCCAGACCTGCACCCTGCCTAGGCCGACCACCGGTCAACCGCCTAATCTGTCTCCCACAGTGCCTGGGGATCTCCCCGCTGGGTTAGGGCTACCCCCTTGGAGGGGGTTATGAGGGGAGCAGATCTGGCAGTGGCTTAATTGGAGTAATAACGAGGCTTCAGAGGGAAGCCACCGTGTTGTGAGTAAAGCTTCTTTCCTTTGAACCACGTCCACTGCAAAGGCCAGTGAACAACACCTGCTGTCACCCTCGTGAAAAGCCCCGCAAGTCACCCTCCCACCCCACCCCGACAGAGGGGACCCCTTTACCAAAAGAAGGCCAAGGCTGCAAAGGCAGGTGGGCGAGGAGGTGCCGACGCTTCACCTCGGCCTCTCCAACCCTCCCAAGGCAGGATCTGCTCTGGGAGGTAACGTCAATGTCCCAAGGAACTCACTGCGTGGGGACAGAAAGTAGTCCTGAAGTCCTCTCTATAAAGGAGACTCTAGGGAAGACCGTGTCTGCTCTTCCTGCCATTTGTACCTCTCCAGCCTGAAGACACAGGGAGAAGCCCCACTCCAGCCTGCGGGGTGCTCAGTGCTCTCCCGGAGTAGCAGCCGTGTGCCCGCTCTGCACCCACAGCCAACTCCGGAGAGGCGTGGCGGTCTCTCCCTCCACACCCACTTCCTTCCATGTCTCTGGTCACACCAGCAGAAGCCCATCTCATCGCTTGCCTAGTCTGCTTGTTCTTAGCTTCCTCTACGGCGTCCCCACAAACCAGGCTCCACGCAGCAGCCAGTCTTTTTATTTTTGGTGGTGCTGCTGGAGACGGAACACAGTCTCTTGTGTGCTAGGCAAAGTGCTCTACCACTGAGCTGCATTCCCAGCCCAGCGTAATCTCTAAAATGCATAATCACATCCCACTCCGCCCCTACTGAACATCTGTAAAAGGCTGCCTCCTGATTGAGGACCACTCTCGTAAGATCCTGACCAAAGCGCAAGGTCCCGAGTTTGATTCCCGGTACCAAAACACAAACAAACAAAAAAAGATCTTGACCACAAGACCCTATGCCATCTGGCCCCTGCCCACTTCGACAAGTTCGTGGTGACCACAAGCCCCTTCCTTACCATTTTCAGCCACGCCGGCCTCTTTTTATTTCCTCAAACAAGCCGAAGACTCCACAGTTCGAGTCCTGGGCCTGTAACATTCCTCTACCTGGTCTATACCTATAACATTCTTCTACTTGGTCTACGCACGTTGGGCTTTTCATCCTTCCGGTTTAGGTTTAAGTGTTGCCTAGGTCAGTCTTGGCCCATCAACCTATGTAAAGAATTAACCACCATGCTACTCAAGGTCTGCAGAACACCCATCCCAGAAGTTTGTGGGCTATTTGTTGAATATTCTTCTTGGAAGCATTAAGGAGCACGGCTTTCCACGTCTCTGCGGCAGGCCCGGCAGCCCCCGCACCCAGGATGACAGGGAGTGCTGGGCCCACGCAGCCCAGCTGGCTGGCCTGCATTCCCAGGAGCAGCCCAAGACTTGGTTCTGTTTTCGCAGCCCGCCTTCCCTGTCTTGACCTCACACATTTTCCATGAGGCTTTATTTGGTGGGGCTCCTGGCTAGCGATCAATGTCAACTCAGTAATAGGGCAGCAATTTGGTGGCAGATGTTTTCTTGGTAGTGTGGCCACCGGTCTTAGTGGGGGCTTTGGGTGTCGCCTCGGAACGCCACTGCCCAATGCCAGCCCCCTTTAAAGACCTCTCTGCAAATAAACTTAAACACCCCGAGCCTCCATTAGCGCCCTTCCAGCTGACCCAGGGAACAGTGGGCCTTTCAGGCCTGCTACTGCCACAGTCCCCTGGGCAGTTAAACACCCCAACCTGGCCTCCAGCCTCTCCTCTCCAGGGGCCACCAGACCTGGCCTGCCCACCACCACACACAGCAGGATTTCGTCCTCCAAAAAAGGGGGGGAAAGGGGCTTTCAAGCAGGCAATTTACCATTCCAGACACAATCTTTCAAAGAGAAACAAAAACTCTCCCTGTCTGAGGCAGACCGCTAAGGCGTGTGTGTAATAAGATGCTAATACAATTTAATGATATTTCGGCTGGAAAACCTGTCCTCAGAGCCTCCTTGTGTCGGGAAGGCCAGACGCTCAGAAAACAAGAGCTGTGCACTTTTAAACCGCTGGAAACGGGGGTCAGAGCCCCACTCTTTCCTATCTCTCATTAACTTTAATGCCTTCTCAGGGACAGTAATTGCACTTACAAAAATGATTTTGTGCACACAGGGTAGAGGGAGGGCTGCTGCCCGGATTTCACAACTCTGCTTCGCAGACTTGCTCCTCCAAGCCTAGGGGAGCCATCAGAGCCCACCTGAAATTCCAAGTATCCCGGCTCTCCCAGAACACGCCCAGGCCTTCCCTCCACACCAGTTCCCGGGACACACCACAGGGACCCTGAGGGAATGCAAGCGGCTCTGTCTACTTTATCTTTGAGGACTTCTCTACTCTTCCCTCCAAAGGCCAAGGCTTGGCCAGCTCACTCCCATATGTGACTGCCCGCTGGCACCTGGCTTCTGATCTCTTCTTCAGAGAAAGGAGCTGGCTCTCTGGCCTAGTCTAAAGGTGAAAGATCAAAGGTCAAACTGCACTGGGGGGTGGTGTCTCTCCAGATCATTAATAATAATAGTAAGACACAGTTAATACGAATCAAGCGCCTCCTACATGCTTTGCTTTTGGATTAATCCCTTTCTCCCCCATCCTCTTTCTTTGCAGTGCTGGTGATGGAACCTAGGGCCCTGCACATGTTAGGCAAGGGCTATACCACTGCGCTATGCGCCTAGCCCTGGGCATATTCCATGCAATATATTATAATTATAGTATGTCACTTACTACACCCACCGTGAGGCAGGGACTATCATTAATCCCATTGGCAGGTGAGGAAATTGAGGTCTAGAGCTGTATCACAGGTGGTTAACTGAACAGCCAGGCTTCAAACCAAGGCTGTCTGATGTCTCACCCTTAAAAGGTTAGTGCAAAAAAAAAAAAAAAAAAAAAA